GAAAAACAAACAAAACAAAAACGAAAACAAAAACGAAAAAATTGTGCGATGCTACAATAAGTATGGATTTCAGCAATCCATAACAATGAGTTTTTGTCCTTCTTGTTGTTATACGTAAACGACAATTTCATTTTTACTTTTTCTTTCTTTTTCGACTTTTCGACTTACTTGTCCAGTTCTTCCTTCTTACCTGGTTCCTCTTTCTTATAGGCTGGTCTCTCAGGTTCTTTCTTAGAACCTTCAGCTTTATTTGGTTTAACTTGCTTCATGGCATCCTTCATTAATTTATCTTGGTGTTCCTTCTTTACTAGCTCCCCTCTGGTCGCCTCCTCAGGTCCTACCTTGTCCTTTCCCTTCAATAATCTCGTCACTGTCTCTAACGAGGCAGTGTTGTGATCAATCTTCTTTTCAAAAGACACAAGATAGATCATGATGGACTGAAGGATGGATGCAAGCTCGCTTCCTGCTTCCTCATAATGAAATCTTTCTCTTGATTCATTCATTTTTCGTTTGTCTTCTTCCTGTGCTTCTTGTAGTCTTCGGAACTCCTCGATCTTTCTCCTTTCTTCCTTAGAGTGTTTTCTAGTTGTCTGACATGTTCCTCCATCATCTCAACATACAGTTGTAATTCTACCTTTCTTTTTTTTTCTTTTCTTCTCTTTTTTCTTTCCTGTTCGATCTTGGCAAATCTCTCGGCGATATACTGGTCAAGGACTATTCGTCCTTGCTTTATGAGGTTCTCAACCTTCTTACCGGTCTCAATCACTTGAGCGGCGGTTTCGATGGTTTTTAGTTCACTCTCTGCAGCTTGCAGATTGAACTGGTCATGACTCCGTTGTTCAATTTCGGAACCGGCGTCGTATACCTCACTGAGAAATTGCTTGAGAAGACCAATCAAAGTTTTTTTTCTCGCATCAATTTGCCCACGGGTTTTTGATTACCCTCCTTCTTCATCGACATAAACTACGAGAGGGGTAGGAAAGAAGAAAAGAGGATAGAACCACGTCAAGATTGAGGCACGCAAACATTTGCAGAGAGAGTTCGTTTTTCCAAACGTGTAGATGCCGTACAACATTGTCAAAAAAAAACGAAAAACAATAATAAATTATATGGCACATGCAACTCCTACAACAAGAAGCGAACCAAACAAAACATAAAGAAGAAGATTCTGAATCAATTTCCTAGTCTAACTTTTCTGTCTGTTTCTGTGTGATGACGTCCTACGTCTACAAGTACCACACCCATGGTAAGTGTGATCAAAACATCGAAACAATTGTAAGTATACACAACAACTACAAACAACCAAGAGGTGACTAGAAGGCTAACACAACAACACAATGCAATGGTTAGCTTCCTCCTCTTTTGACTATAGCATCAATGCAACCCAAGTGCACACTCACACCTTCAGCAGCCTCTATGCATGCCACGAGTCTCCCCCGAAATGCCAACACATCAATATTGTCACGTCTGCATCAAGAGTTGGAACAGTCCAGAAGGAGGGATGTCACATTGCAATGCAGATCTGCTACACACTCAACACCAGCATACCATGTGAGCACATCAACAACACACCCTACATACCACATAACAATGTGCCACATCAGCGGTACCAATCTCTCTCTACACCAGCGCCACGTCAGCATATTGACAACAAAGCTCTTGTCGGCGTCTTGAAATCTTCAATATAGTCACTTCATCATCTTCAAGGAACAATTGCTCGCACGAGCAATATTACCATGTCTAGACTTGCGGTATGATCGTGCGTGTT